AATCCCAGTAGGGATTTAGGGGTTTAAAGAAAACAAAAAACAAGACAGTAACCAGAAGATATTCTCCACATACTTAAAATAATAAAATACAATGTGAAGACATAGAACTTGTACGCCAAATGAAATAAAGGAACATCTGTGCATATTTAATGATTCTCTTAGCAAATGCCTGCCTTACTTCTTCTCCAGTCCTACTTTTCCATAACCAAAAATCCACTGAATTTCAATAAATCAGTCTTTGCCTTGTTTTTCACTGTTCCTTTCCAGATTTCCACCATACCTATTTCTCTCCACAGGTTCAACAGAATAGAAGAATACCTTCATTTTATAAAATTACATCCAAGGTAGCATCTATCATAAGGCTCATGACCATTTAAAGTAGTAAAATTATTACAGATATTGTAGATCTATTCATCATATTGGGTCTGCCCCTAGAAATAAAACACAGCAATGTAAGAGGAACATCTTTTTCTTCATCTCAGGATGAGAACAGAGACAAAATTATCATCACCTGCACTAGGTTCTGAAAACTTCAGTGTTTCTTGGTAAAGATTACAGAAGCAGCATGCAATAAACTTCATTATCAGATCACAGTTTGCAAATAGGCTGTGCTGCCAAGTCTTTATTTGGCAAAGGGGAATACAGGATTCCCAAAATCTTTGTTTGAAGAGAGTTTCTGGCAAGTCAAGTACATGGATTTTTTTGTTACTTCAGAAAGTGGGTAGAAATCAGGGCTATACAAAGCCAGTAAACTGCCTTAGCTTTGGGCAAGGGGCAAAAGAGTGCATGGATCATAGATTCACAGATTTCTGGGTTGGAAAAGACCTTAGAGATCATCGAGTCAAACCATCCCTAATCCCCATTAAACCATATCGCTAAGTAGATCATCCACCCTATTCTTAAACACATCCAGGGATGGAGACTCAACCACCTCCCTGGGCAGCCTATCATACTGCCTACCTTGCAAAGTTAATTCCCAAGTAAAGCAACTCTGGTGCAGGTACAGATGTCTGCTAAGATATGGGCCCCAATTACTGACCCCTCTGCTAAAGGATCCTTCCATCCCACATATACCTGTGGCACTACACTACCTGTGCTGCTAAGACCAGATGTTAATCCACCCTTAGGCACACGCAGGCCAAGTTGACTCGTAGGATGCAATTCACCCTGCCCTGCACAGACCTGGACACACACCAGCACCTGAACTCCCAAAGTGAGGAAGGAGAGAGACTTAAAAATTACACAGGGGGAAAAAAAAGGTATTGTTGACAGGACAGGATTGGAAAGGAAAATGGGATGGATCAGGATTTGAAGAAGAGGTAAAGGCAAATAAGTTTTTTTTTGTTTCATAGTGTTTTTTTTTTTAAATTACTTGTTTTCAATTATTTTGCAATAAGTGTTTCCAAGGCTTCACATTATCAAAGGAGAGACCCAGACTGAGAAAAAAGTAAAGATGAGAAAGCAGTGTTAAAAAAAAAGGCAAATAATTAACTGGCAGTTCACGCTGTGAATCACTGAGTTTGAAACAAACTCACCCACATCTGTTGATAAACTTCATTAACTGAAAAAACGATACTGAAAAGAATGCCGTCCTGCATGCGTAACACCTGCCTTCTGCTTTGGCATCCGAACTGCAAGAACATCTGAAACCTCAGGAGTTCAAAGATTCTCTTGGTTGTTTTGGAAGACAGCACAGCACACACCTGATGCTCGCTTCCAAAGGGGACAAAGGAGGCTGGCACACCATCAAGAGGACTAACCTCCCAGTTAAATATCAAATTGGTAAACAGTTTGTAGTCTGCAATAAGCTCCATTCATGGAAAATTGAATTTCTAGGACCAGCTACCACGTCGATGAGAGAAGAGTAGGCAAAGGGGTTTTTACACACTGGCGTCTGCCAGACAGATGGCTGCAACCATTTATTCTCTGCTGGTGCAGCAAACTATCTTATCTTGTTGGTGCTTTTAAGGATGAGCTGCGGAGGATTTCAACAAACAATGCAAAATTATTTCCAATAGTAGTAATCGTAGTTACTTTTGATATGTCCATTTTTATCGCTAGATCTGGAAGTGCTCTTACAAAAGGCAGGTAATATCACCAACATTGTAACAACAAATACCATCAACAGAACGACAGGTCATATCTCACCAACTCCTGCATCTTTCTTTGTTGCCCTGGACTCACCTTATCTCACAGCAAGAAGCAAGGAGACAGCAAGACAGTTCTCCCTCCCTGGAGAGGTTGCTCTCTCCACGGCACAGAGAGACATGGAAAAACTACTTTTTCCAGATTACCTTTCCTTGCTAACCTGCCATCACGTCTCCATTTACCTTAAGCAACTACTTTCAAGCATGAAATCACCTTGCTCCACATCTGACTGAAGCTTCAAATTTTCTACAAGGAAGCACATAGTCCCACATGACTATGACAGCAGAGACTATAGATGAAAGGACCGGAATGCAAGATTGAGCGCACCCTCAGCAAGTTTGCTGACAGCACCACACCAAGCTGAGTGATGTGGTCAACACGCTAGACAGAAGGGATGCCACCCAGAGGGATCTTAACAGGCTTAAGAGGTGGGCCCATTTGAACCTCATGAAACCTGACAAGACAAAGTGCAAGGTCCTGCAAATCAGTTGGGGAAATCCCAAGCAGAAGTACAGGCTGGGTGGAGAATGGATTGAAAGCAGCCCTGAGGAGAAGGGACTTGGGGGTGCTGGTTGATGAGAAGCTCAACAAAGAGCACTTGCAGCCCCGAAAGCCAACCGTATCCTGGGCTATATCCAAAGAAGCATGGCCAGCAGGTCAAGAGAGGTGATTTCCCCCTTTACTCTGCTCTCGTAAGACCCCACTTGTAGTACTGCGTTCAGCTCTGAGGTCCCCAACATAAGGACATGGAGCTGTTGGAGTGAGCCCAGAGGAGTGCCACAAAGATGATCTGGAGCACCTCTGCTATGAAGACAGGCTGAGCTGGGGTTGTTCAGTCTGGAGAAGGCTCCGGGGAGACCTTCTAGCAGCTTTCCAGTACCTAAAGGGGGTCTAAAAGAAAGCTGGAGAGGGACTTTTTGCAAGGGCGTGTAGTCATGGGACAAAGGGTAATGGCTTTAAACTGAAAAAGAGGAGATTTAGATTAGATCAAAGGAAGAAATTTTTTACAATGAGTGTGGTAAGGCACTGGAACAGGTTGCCCAGAGAAGCTGTAGATGCCCCATCGCTGGAAGTGTTCAAGGCCAGGTTGGATGAGGCTTTGAGCAACCTGGTCTAGTGGAAGGTGTCCCTGCCCATGGCAGGGGGGTTGGAAACAGATGATCTTTAAGGTCCCTTCCAACTCAAATCATTCTATAATGCTATGAAATACATTTCCCCCCTTCATCAACAGAAGCAGTCACCATTCACTGGCTGCTGTTCTGAGGCATTTGAAAAGTATTAGGACCACTTTTAATTACCAAAAGTTCAAACTCTGTAACTAATGTATCTCAGTACTGCTATGCTCCTCACGCCTTTTCATTAGCCTTAAGAATGTAATGTCCAAAGCGGCACAAGCTTTTGCATGTCCTTACTTTAAAATTAAAAAATCCAACCAACCAAAAAAACTCACAGCTATCCTGAAATGTAGAGGTTCAAGTGGACCCACATACTAATAAAAATTTATGATGTGGATTAGGTTAGTCTACTAATGATCAATTTATTGTTTACACTTACTGGAGAATCTCATATTCATTCAGATAATCCTTTTATCCCCCACCATGACTAATTTCCTCTTGGAGAACACCATTAGGAAAGGAGACACTAGTAAATAAGAACCTATGATGTCTGGAGCCTACTTAAAGGATGTTAGTTTCCAGTGGGATTGCAAATGATTTCAGTAATGGGCCCTTTCCGAACACTTTTCATTACTTTCTTCATCTGTGAAGTTACTCAGGGGAACAGTTACTGCAATTTAGAGACGACAAGCCCAAGAAACAGAAACGAGCCAACTTCTGAAGATGCATTCATCAGTAGAAATATGGCAGAGTATACTTCAGAGCAACAGAAGGTACGATGCCAAATCTTTATTAGTTTCGTTCAAACTAATTTACTTCATTATAAAGCTGAAGAATCTAACAGGGCATCTCCACTAGTTTATCTCAAAGAAAAGTAAAATGAAAGACTCTGTTTAGGGAACATTGGTTCTTCAAGTTTTTCAGACTGCATTAGGACTCCTCCCGATCCCAGCTTCTGGCATGTCCTACGCTCAAGGTGCTCTCAGAAATGCAAATACAGTTTCTAACCAGAAAAGGCTTCTTTGCAATGAACATCACGAATAGGTTCCTAAATGGTCAGTAGATCAGGTTCTTAACTAATCTCTCATAGGTCCTTAATCACCTTAGCTTAGAATAAAAGTGTGTCCACAAAAACACTTGTGGCTAAAACCAGATCCACGTTTCAGGCTCACTGTAATTCCACAAAACCAGTTCCCCAGGATCTGCAAAAAAAAAAAGCCTTTTGATAGGGGAAGACCTAAAACCAAGAAGGGAGTTGCTTCAAAACACGCTTTTCAAATAAATAAAAACAGCACCATCAAGAGGAGCAGAGAAGGTACTCGAAATTTGTAGAAACAGCCCTCTGATCACACTGCAATAGACAAATGAAAGTGTGATTCTCAGTAATTGCAGCACAGTTTGCATTGCAAAATGGTTGGTTTTTTTTTTTTTTGTACTTAGCTTGGCAGTTAACCTTAGCTGGGTCACTCTCCATTGTATTATAGACCGCCCTATATAGATCCACTTGCCCTGACTTGCATAAATGACCTACTTTTCACACTGACTCCACTGGACAGACCTATACTGACAAGTCCTTCAACAAGAGTCTGTGGCACCTCCAAACTGTGGCCATCAAAATGAGGATATCTCTACAAAAATTAAAGACACATGATACTTTCCTTCAAATCAAAGTAATTTTAACAAAATCCTAAACACAGGATGTGGTGAACAGATTAATACTCCATAGTTCTGCCTTACCGTAAGCAACCAGAAGTGTTCTTGAAGACAGTTGTCCACTCAGCATCACGAGGCTTAGAGTCCTCATTCGGCTCACTCTCCCAACCTGAATGGGGTATAATCACCTCATTGGTAAGCGTCTGCAGACCGTGGTTGATGATGACCATCTTCAGGGGCTCATAGGAGGATAAGTTCCACAGGGTGCCTGCAGGAGAAACAGTGATTATTAAACGACGAGAGAATTATAACTATTTAAAATCTCTAGATTAAATAGAATCACTAGAAGGTTAAATGATAAAACTAAATGAAAAGGCGAAACCACTTGACGAGACGCCAAACTGGCACATAGCTTAGGGAAAATTCCACAGTCGCTAAAACAGAAATGTTTCTAAAAGCATGGAAGCACTTTTATCAAGACATGGATATTGTTGACATCATCAAGTCCCACAACAGAGCACATAAATGTGATGTGCTGTTGAAGATTAATGGGATTTTTCTGTTACATATAGAAAAATTTAACACACACACACACAATGTACATAAACTTTAAGCCTAGCTATGCCTCAAAGTAAAAATTCAGCCAGTGCAGCAGACAAGTATTTCGAGCAAGTCTTAAAAACAGAGATTAATTTATGGAGTATCATTGATCTTATGCTTATCCTCCGCACAAGACAATGTTTCATTCAACACTCCTCTCTGTTTACTTTCACGCTTTCCTGCCACAGGCAGTATCTCTGTTCAAATCACACGATGCCACAAGCATATGATTCCTTGAAGAAGCTGAGAATCAAAACTCCTCTGTCTTTCCATTTTTACCTCAATTATGAGCCAAAATACACAGAAATCAAACATCAGAGTAGCATAACAGAACAGCCTTACAGCTGTAAAAATACCCAGCCTTAGATAGGTGATGCAAGTTCTCAGGAGCAGACCTGTGTCAGTATCCTGACAGTTATGGCTCATTAGGTTAGGATTAGAAGAGGACATTCACTTCAGAGATAATTTCTGCACGGGCCCAGCCTGGCAACATTTGAGAACTAGCAGTAACAACACTTGGAGGGAGCCAGTTACACACTTTTGATCTCCAAGGAAAACTGAAGACTACCAAAATTTCAGAGAGACCAAATGGAAAAGCTACATTCCCTCAACACACAGGAAATCTTTCCTAAGTGGATACAATATTAATGTGAGGATCCCTGTGTTACTACAGCTGTGAGTTTGTGCATATTATAGTTGTAGATACTCACCTCTTAGTACACACGTCTAAAGCAAAACAACAAAGGTACAACCCTTTTGTTTCAGTCCCTTTCAATCACTCCGAGTTTTAAACCCTACAATTTTCAAACTTTAAGAATGACTGGAAGAAGATTTTGGATCTATTACTTTGGTCGCACAGCCCAACAAACACACGGCAGCCAACGGAAAGCAGGGAGCTGTGAGGGAGTTTGCAGTGGTGCAACCATCCCGCGTGCCGGAGAGCTGCCCGGGCCACCCACCGGAGCCAAGGCAGCTGTCTCGTGGGAACCCTCCTCCACACTCAGACCTTCCCTGCTACAAGTTAGAAGTGTCAAATGCCAAATGTCCTATTTTAATATCAGAGTATTATCCATATAGGGTCATGACAGGTACCCGGTCAGGACGGGAATTTTATCTCCATTGGAGCACTTACATGATAACCTCCAAGGCTGATGATTAGCAGAGCCTTGGAAGTCAAATGCTATGGTGTCTGCTCTTCAAAGTGATCTTTACAAAATCCAGGCATCTGTTCAGACTTAGGAGACCATACTAATTAATAAAGAAACTCTGGGGCAGACAAGAGAATGAACACCGCAATATTTCTTTCAGTCTTTTTCTAAAACCATATAAAAATATTACTTTTTCAACCTGATTCTTTGCCATTCATAGACAACTCACTGTATGAGATTGTCATAACCTACATTTTTAGCTTTCAAACAAGACTGTATAGGTAAAACAGAAATTAATTTTCCCTTTATACCCATTACAATAAATCACCCTTTGTTATTGCATAACATCAAATACAATGGACAATACAAAAAACCAAAACCAAGTAGAAAATGCTAACTGGCCCCATTTTGATGTGGAAGAAAGTCTATACTATAACAAACTGGATCAAAACCACACATCATACAATAAACAGACACCCGTCAATATTTATAATAAGACTAAAAATTGACATATAAGCTACCAATTAATTTAAAATACTTCACTAGACAGTCTTTCTTTAGTTATCGTACACCAATTCCTTAAGTGCATCAGACTCACTGATATACAAATAATAATTACAATTAAATCCCTAAATGCATCACTGGCTCGGTACTTCAAAATTCAAATGCAAAATCAGAACATCAAGCACTGAACTAGATGGATTAATCCCAGGAAATTATACAGGATAATTATCTCCGGAGCAAATGTAGATTCAAACTGAGAAGAGTGGGTACAGAATACCCTGGTTCTGGAGGGTTATTTTCCCTCACAGGAACATAAATGGTATTTGCAGTGCTCAAAAACACAGTATTAGGAAAAGACAGTATCAACTGAGGAACCCAGTACAAAACATTGCAACTGGAAACAATGTGAAGACTTAAAATCTTCTGTATGCAGAAGAGCTAAGTTTTAAAATCTGACAGCCCTGCACATGTAAGAGCTCCTTCCTTAAATGCATGTATTTCTCTTGCACCTGAGATGAGACTCTGCCTTTTCCTCTTTCCCGGAGGAGTGACATAACGTGTTATCTGTAGTGTGAAACTACAAAGGCAAATTTCACTGCTTAAGAAGAACTAGGCAGATATATACTTAAAAAGCCAAAATTACCTATAAAGTTTCCAAGAGTTACAGGATCATACAAAAGTCTTCCAGTGCTCAAATCTTTTACTTGTTTTAAGCTGTAGAGATTTGTGTCTAGATTTCAATACCTTCAACCCCAATGTGTAAAGTAAAATCATCACCTCCAAATTCCCTCTTCTCTTATATTCTCATTCACCAGTATTCATTTCAAGAGACTAAACGCAACTGGGATTCAAGAGTATTCTAACTGGATTGCAACACTGAAACCAGCAGAAACCCACCAACCTACCACACACAAGTCAGCTTCGCTGAAGCCAGTAACCCTGTCCGGACCAACAGAGCTACCTGCCCTTACGAAAGGGTCTCTTGTACATATTTATCCAGAATTTTTATGAAGAGGCTGACTGCAATTTATGCAATAAACTGTTTAAGGCAAACACATTTTGTCTGTCAATCTCATTGAGTGGCTACCAGGCAACGGGGGCTGAAGTTAAACAGAATGTCTTTCCTCCATCCTCTTTGAAGGGAAAAACCCAACAGTTTACAAGCTTTTCAATTTCTCATCCACCTCCCATCTCCTAAATGCTTCACAGAAAACACCAACAGACTGTGAAGAATAAAAGACAGTCTTACTATAAAAAAAAAAGGCACAAAGCTTTCAAATTATTACAAAACATCATACCACTTAAATTTGTAATATTCTCCTTGATGGCTGCATAAGGAAAACCGGAATAATCCCTTGGCTGAACAACACTCAGCGAAGGAAAATGTGCAGCACTCAACAGAAAGGTAGCCCAAGATAAAACAAGGATGAGGGAATCCTGTGGTTCCAAAGGCAAGTAAAAAGTTCAGACTCAAGGTTAACTTAATTGAGAAAATATTCCACAAGAAGGGATATAGAAAATAAACAGTAATTTTTTTTTAATTCAAAATTATGAACCAAAGAGGTCTAAATCCAGCATCCTTTCAGCTCTTGAGAAATAAATTCCATGGAAAAGATACTGGTGGCAGCCATGGAAACTTAAAAAAAAAAAAAAAAAAAGAATGAATTCAGATCATACTGTAGGTTTTAGCAGGATGAGAGAAAAAGTTGAGTTAAAAAATATTAAAATCTTTGTAAATTTGACATCCATCTTTAAAAATCATTCCCTGTCTCTATTAGCATAATACACTAAACGATCTAACGAGCTGGAAACACTGTTTTTAAAACTCTAAGTATAATCAATTCAAATGAATAGCACTCAAGAGAAATCAAGTCGCTAACACGGCAGTATAAGGCAAATGAAGTTATCCAAATGTTCCATGCACTTTCACTACAAGTATTGGCCTTTTTGACCACAAACTGCATGAATTTTACGACTAGAGAAAGATGATTAACTATTGCTTTTCAGAATATTATCGCAATCGTTATCAATTTTTATTTTATTCATAAACACTATTTGTAATATACGTATATAAATTCTAACTACAACCATTATCTCTACTCCTTCGGCATGTTAAGCAGAGACAATAGCTACAGGTTTTTATTTCAAACATCATGATTATTGTAAAAATACATTAAAATTTACTGTAAGCTATAAACATAGCTGTATGATTTATGTAACATTAAAAGTGATTACGGCCACAGCCATAATTTCCTAAATCTCCGCCTCCTCAGAGCTGTGAGATTTCTAAAGAAATTGTGACAGAATATGTACGTGCTATTATCTTCTGAAATCCAAGGGAAATCTTTTCCTGCTGCGCTTGCTTACTTGCAAAAATCCAATGTCACCAAGAAATGAGATGATGCAGCTGTTTAATTCTTTATCTATGGCCCATACTAAATCATCTACCATATGGGAAAATAAAGTGCTCTGCATTATATTCACTGAGCACTTCTTGTTGCATGTTAGTCCTGTATGCACTTGTTTGACAGACGACTTGGAATCATTCTGAGTCCTGAAGATCGGATTTGTGCTTCTTCCAGTTAAGTGGTGGCCAGGCTGAGAAACTCAACATGAATCACTGTGTCGTAGAATACACCATGGAAAGGTTCATCCTTCTGACAAGCTTTCTAGTAGAAAATGGAAGGAGTAAGCTCATCTGTAATCAGAAAGTTCAAGACAGCATGGTACTTCAAAGGGACGTTAGCATCAGATGAGCTGACAGGATTTTAGCATACATTAATGCCCAGAAGGTATGAATTCTGAGTAAGCCGATCAATCTGCAAGTCTCCCTTATAGTATTAGGTTAAAATATTTCCTCTGCAGAGCATTTTGAAGGTCAACCATTTTTCAATTAAAACCAGTTTGGCAACATCCAGCATCAGGAAAATCATGTTCTGCACCACTTAAAAAAATCAGTGCAATGTCGTTAAACAACAAAATTACTATCAATGTTCTCACAAAGAACAAAATTATTCATTAAAGCTACCAACTTCTGATTGTTTTTCAAAGAACGTAATAGAATTTTGGTCTTGCATATCTGATGGGAACATTTGCTCCACAAAAAACTTATCACTCAAGATAAAACTTTTTGCAGCTTTCCCAATCAGAACAGATTTAATTCCTTATCAGCTTTAATCCTTATTTCTCTCTGTTTCTCAATAAAATGACTCACTGAAAATTCATTAGTACACTTCCAAGATTAGAGAGGGATACATAGGACAATTTTGGGGAATATTTCTCATCACAACTCTACTCATGATTTACTTACAGACATTCTAACTGTTAAATCAAGCTTTTCTCAGTGCAGTAGGTGGAAGACTTTTTGTCACTTCACATTTTAAAAAGAAAGAAAACTGAGATCTGTGGTATTTCATGATTGTATCTTGAGTTTTGAAGGTATTTTTACAGACCTCGCGTATCTATCTTTCCTTGAGGGACATCATGTTTTAGTGCCATTTGCAGATATATCAAGAACGTCTGGTAAAACAGACGTGGTATTAACCCAGAGGTGATTTTCAAATTCTACTAAAACCAGTGCTATCTGAAAGAAAAAAGCTACAGACTTGCTTAATCTGACAGTAGTGTTGTATCAGTGTACTCATTTTACTTCCAAAATTGCATGTCAATACGTTGTCTAACTTGCGTTCTTCAAAACATATATTCTGGGAAGTAGTCAAGTGAACACAGTTCTGACACATCAAGTCTCACAAATTCAGCACTGAATGTCACACATCCAATTCCCCCTCATGCTCCCCTGCCACTGCATCTACCTCTTGCATGTTTTTAATGTATTGGCATGGCTTTTTTCCCACTCCATTAACCCACTGACCAGACCCAGCTGCCTGGTCTGATTCACACTGTTCTGGACAGCTGCAGCTTCTGTGTCAGATCACCAAGTTAATGAGAGGCCATAGAGCTGTACTAAAGCCAAGGACTGACTCTCAAATTAGATGAGAATGATGCTCTCTTTTGCCAAAAAGCACCCTCTCTAGCTGCAAATAATGTGTCTTATTGTATACTCCTATGTCCCTCCTGTCCTGAAGGCCAGCAGTGTCCCACACTCAGCCAAGCAAAACTTCATGACTGGAAGTGCTCTTGAATCTGGACATCTGAATTATTTGAATTTCTTTAAATTATTTAAGTATCTTTGGAGAGCAGGATTATTTTCTCATTCGTCCACATCTGGGATGACTGGCTGATGATCACTATTCAGCTTTCAAACTGCAGCCAGTATTGAGTTAAAGAAATGTTAAACCACAGAAAAGTCAATGTGTCATACCAAATTTCAATTTGCAGCCTGTTAAAAGAAATAAACAAGCAAACCTTGTATGCTGTTGTCTTTTCTTCCTTCTCCCCCCCCCTCCCCCATTGCTGCAGAAGATCCCACAGATTTCACCCCAGACAGAATGAGAAACTTTCATGGCAAAGGTAGACTTTGGTTTATCACTAGGGACAAGTACCCTGATAGGAAGTCAAGATTTCTACTAGGAGAACATTGGAATTGTGATCTGAATTTTTGAGGCTGCAAAACACAGTCCTTTTGTAGCAGCCCTGGCTGAATGCTCCCTTTGCACTTCAAGTCGGCTCTTGTTTCATTCTGCTGACTTTCGGAGCTCATTTTTCGAATGGACAATTCCACATTATCAGCCGAGGCTTTGAACATTGACTGCAAGTACACCAACATCAGTCACAGGGGCATTGCTGGAATACTCTTCTCTTCTATACTGATGCTTGAATGTCTCACACCGGATCCGGTGATATCGTTTTAGAAGTGGAATGGAATTATTCCTGGTTAGGTGGAAATTAAATGCACGTCATCTGTTGCTGGACATCTGTTCAGGTTACTGCCCTGAGTATTCCTGGTGTTTCTCAGTAAGAGGAAACAAAGAGCTTTAAATAGCAAAAACCAAAGTGGAATAAAAATACAACATTTAATTAGCAGGAGGTACTGTCAAATGTAATGCATTTGAACTGCAAAACTAATTAATCAACTGGAAATCAAAGCAATCGCCATTTAGAGTGAAAAGGGAAAACATCCAGTTTGTTTTTGCCATCTCAAAAGTGACTGATTACCACTTAGCTTTATAATGATATTCCTTCAGAGTAAATTATAGACTGGCTTCTCCTTTCTTGCATCTAAAGAAATAAATTTATTCCTTCTCAGCACTCCAGAAATTAGTTTTGAGTAAACTAGAACAGTAGGTAAATAGATATTTTTTATTTTGAAAAAAGTAATAAATTTAGGTCAGCCATCATACTAAATGAGTGCAACAAATGCAATATAAATACTACTCAGAATTTCCATGTTAAGAGACAAAGCACAGACAACAATCAAAGCACAACCAACACATGATACTTATAGGTTCTCTGACAAAGCAGTCAGCTCTCCTTTACCAGCTCACTGGAAAAATATCCCTGCTGGTTTCTACACTGTATATTTAGACTTAAATATCTTCTAATAGCTGGGGAAGAACAGTTGGAACACTCAAGGCCACTGTTCATCTCAGAGAATTATGATTACCAGTAAAAACTTGGAGAGCTGCTATAATATTTTTGAGGCTATTATAGAATTATGATATTTCCTTCTAATGGCTTAATCCATGTTTGCAAGAGGGTCTGTCTGGAGAATTCAACACTGATAAGGTAGCTAAAAACAGTTTCAGCCCTGGACCCGTTTTCACACTCACAAAACTTTCTGAAAAATTCTCTTCTGGCACTGAAATTCTTTGCAACTGCCCTGGTCTCCATCCAAGCACCCCCTGCTGCTTCTGAAGAGAAAGGGAAATCCATTTCACTCCTCATGAGCTATGGGAGACTGAAGAACAATATATTTCTCCTTAGTTTAAAAGCTGACATACTTTTCCACCCTTTTCCACTTAATGGCTGAACTTTGAAACTTGGCATATGCTTTATTACTCTTTTTGGATGATGTTCAAGACTAAGATCAAATAAAAACCAGGTTGAATAATGGAGTTATAAGTAATTGAAAATTCCCTGCAAAGTGTGCACAAATTCAGTAACCTCAAAACGTAAGTCTCCCTTTCCCAATTACTGCAACTCCTGTGTCCAGAGCATCTCAACAGCAGACTCCACACTCTTTAAAATCCGAGTTTCCCAGCCCAGAAGTGCTGCAACTTTATACACAGCCTCAGAGCACCCTGCATCAGGGGCTGGAGACTGACTGTTCTATCGATATGAAGTAGCCAGGACATGGCAGCAGAATTGTTTTATAAGAGATTAACAAGGAAAGTTTTAGATTAGCATATCTTACCTCATGATTGTAATACACTGAGGGCAAGCACAGTACAAATTACCTGTCAATGAAGTTGCTATAACTCATTTAAGCTTCAGTAACTCAACCACATGCAGTTGCATGCTACATCCAAGAAGCATCATTCATCTCTCAGCAGCCAGGGAAACCCAAGTGTGCTACATACACAGATGATCTGAATTTCCTCCTGAAGGACAGGTTTGCCTTAGGCTTTCTCACACCACAAACATGGTGTGGCTAAAGAGACAGCTGCAGCCAGTGATCTAAATTCTCCTTCAATCCTCCAATCTCCAGAAATTCTTGGTCCTGAAGCTGAAAGCGCTCCTCTAAAGAATAAATCATTAAAGAAACTACAGCCACTGACCTGTAATTAGCTCTCTGACTTCCATGTCATTTGTTTTTCGCAATAGTCTGATCAATGCAGGGATCCCATCACAGTTCTTTATAGCCACTTTGTTTTCATTATCCTTCCCGTAGGAGATGTTTCTGAGAGCCCCACAGGCTTTACGATGGACCTCCGGCTTTGGATGATCAAGTAGGCCCACCAAGATCGGTATCCCTTTAAGATGTCTCACGTCCTTTTTGATTTTATCGTTCTCATAGCACAAGTGCTGCAAGTAGGCTGCGGCGTTAGACTTAACTGGATCAATAGGGTGGCTGAGCATGGCAATTACTTCGGGGAGGTCAGGGTCCCTCCACCGGGGGTCTTTGCGAATGCTGTCAATAGAGGGGGAGCGCTTGCCCAGACGGTCAATACTAGCCATGCTTCCTCTCTCTGGCTGTGCCAGTGGTGCTGCATAGCCACCATGAAGGTAAGGGATCCTCTCTTCAACCATCTCTGTCTCGATGGGGTCATCGTAGCCCCTGTAAGAAGCAACAGTCCCAAGAGAAACGAAAGGGAGAAAAAACAAAAAAGCACATTTAAACACTCTGTACCTCTGAATCAGTATGGAGATTTCAGCTGTGAGCAAACATTTTAATATCACAAACATCATTAGGGGCAGCATATTTACACTTTCAAATAATTTATTTGTAGTAACTTGAAAATTAACCATAGCTGAGTACTCAGCAGCAATGGGACCAGAGCACAGTATCTGTTTGGCTAGCAACAAAACAATGACAGGAACTGCACGGCATCAAACAGATTGCTTTCATTTCGGTCACTTAGCAAAACAATTATGGTAGAGCTGGATTGCATTTAGTAGGAAACACTGAGCTTCATTAATGCTGCTACTTCTGCAAGAAACCAAAACACTAATTAAAGGCATTCGAGGTGTGGGCAGAGACCACAGACTTTTCAGTGAATTTGATTTCAGATCAACAGATCTCACATTTCAACATAATTTCCATATTGATGCTCACACAAGTATAGTGAACTCATTGATATATATAACAATGTCAAAGATGATGGAAAACCTAAGTCCTGAATCTAAACATGTTAAAAAAAAAACCAAAAAAAACCAAAAACAGTATCTTGTACAGAATTACTTGGAATACAGGTAAGAGGCTGATGTCAAGAGACCTGGGTCCAGTGCTTAACACCAGAGTAATTTTTTTGACATCCAAAACAAGCCTGGTACTCTGAGCTTTCCCGCTCAGGATGGCAACTAACCTGGATATTAGACACTTTAAGATCGTTCATAGCATCAGAATGAACAGCAGCCACCTTGTGCCATCATTCACCGTGTGTAACTGAACTAGCATCAGTCACAACCAGCTAACACGCCTACTCAGATATTACTGTCTTAGTTCACACAAAGGGCAAAGTTACAATCAACACAGTTGAAAACATTCTAACACAGTACATTCTCACTCTACAAACGCCCATATTCTTTTTTTTCTTAAAAAATAAAAATCAGTATTTGACAAATACTTCTCTTTCTTTTAACAACCACTGCTGCAACAATAACCTCTAACCTTTGGAAAAAAATCCGCCCTCTCCAATCGCTTCCTACAACTAGCTGTTAAAGATGGAACATTTCTGCAAGAGATTTGTAAGGAAAGGCATTTACAACTTCAGAATTTGTTTTTGAGATTCACTTCATCCCTTATTCAAAGTGACACCTTTCATCCTCCAGGACACGCAGAGGAGCTTCAGCGCACGTACCGTGCACCTGCCCGGGAGACAATCCTTAAGTCCTTCGGAGAAGTACAAAAGGAAATCTGAAGCTTGCACACAATGACCCACTGGTCATAAATTCTTCAATTTTATATGTGAATAAGCCCACAGGGCAATAAGGTGACTTGCACCCAAGAGTTATAAACTCCTACAAGCCCTTCCATCTTTGCAATCTCTCCTTTCTCAGGCCTTGCCCCAAAGGCTCACACCAGCTCGCAAACCTGGCTGAGAAGGATGAAGAGCTGAGGCGATCCACTGGGGAGCTGCATCAGAATTCGAATTAATCCCACTGTTTTAAACCTCAAGTCCAGAAGATGATTCTTCTTCATCCTCCCTTCCCTCTAATACTACTTAATACTACTCTTAATACATGTGAACATAAATTGACTTCTTAGGCACTGGAACAGGTTGCCCAGAGAAGCTGTGGATGCCCCATCCCTGCAAGTGTTCAAGGCCAGGTTGGATGAGGCTTTGAGCAACCTGGTCTAATGGAGGGTGTCCCTGCCCATGGCAGGGGGGTTGGAACTAGATGATCTTTGAGGTCCCTTCCAATCCTAACCATTCTATGATTCTTATATATTTTATTTTTTTTTTTTAAACAGCAGCAGCTTTTTGCCCTACTGTTTTTTTCCTGGACAGATTAGCTGTGTTCTCAGTATTGTAGTTACCTCAGTCAAGCAAGTAGTTTTAATTGCTACAAAAAGATTCTTAAAAACTTTCATTTTAAGCACTGACTGATGTTACAGAACAATTTCTGATGTCACACTGAAGGAAGCATAGACCATTAGAGCTCAGAAAGAAAATGGAGCTTGCTGTTATCCTAAAGGGACTGCTAATTAAACTAGGCTCTGGGGAGAAGAGCAACTGGAGGTGGAGACTGAACTAAGTCTTGTACAATTAACGCTTTCAATGTTAAAAGCACCTCCAGTGACTTTAAGCTGCTTTAATTGCTGTTCTAAACCATAAACTGAATGAAAGGATAAAAATGGGCCAGTATCCAAAACTCAGAATGAATCTGAAGAAATCCTTTTATCGATGCAGTTATTTGTGTATGTATAATTCAGTACTCGCTCTACGCAGTAATTTACAACGTCGGGACAGCCGTTGTATTTTGTGTTACAGAACAAAGCTGTTTCCATCTTTCCAAGAAGAAAGTATCAACACTGAAAAGATTTACTTTTGTACATACACACAGGGCAGAAGTAATAAAAAACACTCCTTAACTAGTCCTCAAACAAAATTCCAGTTTTACATATGCAAATTTGGGACAACCAGCATTAAAACTACAAGAAAAAAAATCATTTCTCAAACTCATCCTCATGTTAAATTCTTTGACTGCATAAAAGAAAATAGCAGAAGACTAATTTTAATAATTGCCCTCTGCACAGCTGTTGCTGGCTTGACTCGGTAACTCACAATTCAGCACGGCTCAGTCCTACGAGCTGCCCACAAGATAACTGCTCACCACCTCAATTACACTGGCACAATTAAGTTTTTCTCTCCTTCTCGTTCATGCAAATACACAAAGATAATTATCGTCTTGGGATGCAGTTTGTTTGCCTTATTTCCATGAAGCCTTCCAAACAGAACGACACAGATGGGCCCACCTTCCTCATGCTGTATCAGAGAGTCATAGAACGGTTTGGGATTGGAAGGGACCTTCAAGATCATCTAGTTCCAACCTCCCTGCCATGGGGCAGGGGCACCCTCCACTAGACCAGGTTGCTCAATGCCTCATCCAACCTGGCCTTGAACACTTGCAGGGATGGAGCATCCACAGGTTCTCTGGGCAATATGTTCCAGTGCCTCACCACCCTTAGTGAAGAATTTCTTCCTTAGATCTAATCTAAATCTCCCCTCTTTCAGTTTAAAGCCATTGCCCCTTGTCCTATCACTACATACCCTTGTAAAAAGTTCCTCTCCATCTTTCCTGTAGGCCCTTTCTAGGTATGGAAGGCTGCTATATAAGATCACCCCAGAGCCTTCTCATCTCCAGGCTGAACAGCCCCAACTCTCTCAGCCTGTCTTCATAGTAGAGGTTCTCCAGCCCTCAGATCATCTTCATGGCCCTCCTCTGGACCCACTCCAGCAGCTCCATGTCCTTCTTGTGCTGCGGACTCCAGAAATGAATGCAGTATTCCAGGTGGGGTCTCATGAGAGCAGAGTAGAGGGGCAGAATCACCTCCCTTGACCTGCTGGCCATATTTCTTTGGATGCAGCTCAGGATACGGTTGGCTTTCTGGGCTGGTATCCTCTCCCCTGTGCCACACAAAGCTCCTTGGTTTCATTATGTTTGTCCAAAATAAAACTTCAGAGTTGGGACTTTAAATTGCAGCACTGTCGTAACAAGAGAGCACCATATAATTCTTCTACCAACAATACTAACTTTTTTTTAATTGTTAATCACTAGTTCTTAACTATGAATGTGAGTATCTGAAGAATCAGTCATTTAAAAGAAAAAAAGAATAAGAAAAAAGATCACATCCCAACTTGCTACTTATTCTAACAAAGCTTTTTTTAAAAAAAGGGTTATTTCTTCCATCGTTCCGATACAAAGCCACTGATGCACCAAAGACAGCCAACAAGCTTTGATGATTCTTGCCTTTGATGATCACTCTCTGATGAAATCCCCAGGACACCGAGCTGGGCTAGAACAGGATATGGGAAGATGCTAAGTGTTTCATGCTGCAGGAAAGAGGTTGCATTCCTCAGTGCCGTGGGTACGGAGAGCTGCAGATGGTTTAAGAGGAATCACGCAGGTGGTGGTGGGGAGGGCAGCATTGCTTAGAACCCAGAGGCTACTGCTCCGTGGTGAAGTGGTGCCCAGAGCACGTACTGCTGGCCCCATCCTCACAGCAGAAGCAAAGCATCCTCAAGGAACGAGACCATGAATTGTAAGTGACTTTTAAGAACTGTTGGCCTTTTCACACAGTCCCATTCCTACATGAACTGTTCACTTGTAACTCTGCTCCTGCCAATCTCAACCTGATTCTGCTGGACCATATCCTTAGTCAAATAAGATTGTAAGTCTAACACAACCATCTTAGTACACAGACAGTTAATTTGAAACAAGACAATGTCTCTCAAGAAAGAGAAAGGCTGAACACAGGGAATGCCATTGCTGAAATAAGCCCACACAGGTCAGATCCAACATACCTCTGCGGGGTGAAATGGTGTCAATAGTTGGCCAGCCACTGGTTACTGCACCAGTAACAAAATGCAACAGCTTTACTTGGCAGCAAAGTTAACACCTGGACACTTGGCCCTTCAAGACCCTGAGAGAAACTCTGACATCCTGGTAATGAACTTCAGAGCTGTACAAGAAAGCTCAGCGAAGGTAAGTATCACACCAATTCAGATTCACATGACTAAATACAGTGATCAAGCCTGGAGAAGGTACTAAAAAAAAAAAAAAAAAAAAGGAAAAACTCAAAATAACCCACACTGTAATTAAAGGAAAAGAATCCTAAAATATTTTACAAGGAAGCTCTCTAAATACTAGCTTTGCCACTGCTTAACAGCATTGAAGGGAAGCAGCTCACCAAGACAGATCGTCTGCAAAGGAGCACAACAACTGATCGGGCAGGATAACGCAGAACCACCACGAGCTGCCTTGGCAGGAGACCCCCAGTCTGTGCGAGCGAGGGTGGTCTGGCCCAGGTCAAGTCCCATCTCCCTCCTTTGGCAGAGGGCCTGGGGGGTCAGGAGAGCAGGCAAGGCAAAGGGTGAAGAAGTCAAAAGCAAATATCTATCAGGGAGTTAAACACATCCAGTTTCTGAAGACAAACGAGTAAAATTAGCAACTCATTTACACACAGAAAGAGTAAAGAAATCCTCTAACTCGGACTTGTGGGGGCCAAATGTGATTTTTCACTTTCACACCAGCAAAGCAACGACACTGGAAAGGTAAATCACCTGACACAGAAGGACTAACAAGAGCTTCAGTAGATAGAGTCATCCATGATCCGGAGGCCAAGAGCTCTTTACTCTTGAGACTGAAGAGACCTGCGTATGCCAGGGCTGCTGACTACACGCATCTTGCCCTCCGTCTGTCTGTGGCAGGGCAGCTGAGCTTTCAGGATGCCGTGGGTCTCACTAATCACCTATCTCGGGGAATTGATCAAAACACATTCTAGCACAGATAAAAACTGGGAGAGAGCTTGCGGATTTATCTTCGTTGTGGCTTCAACATAGGCACATTTGAGGAAACAGGTGAAGGATTTACACAGTTAATCCTCAACAATTTATACAAGTATTACATTCACCACAGTTTGCAGCTGGTGTCTGCTTAGGAGAAAAGACCAGAAAGGCTTGGGATTTCAGTAGGGAACTTTGTACCAAACATCCGAGAGGAAATCTAAACACTTTGCAGAATGAGGTCCTACTTTTGCCAGCCTCTGTTCCCTGACAGAAGGATGCAAAAAAGGATGCAAAACTGGACCAAAACCTCTCTGAGACAAGTATGAGTTAGAGCCATATGGCTAAAACACTGAAGTCGGATTGACTGGAGCCACCTAAGAGCTACTAATGGATGAGCTGACTCAGGCTGCAGCCTCCCATATAAAACACAGCCATACATTGGTCTGCTGCTACCCGCATCCAGATCAACTCCCACCAAATTCACTTTAAGGAGGAACCTCAGGAAAAAACCTCAAATCTTTTCCAAACTAACTGCATTTTTTGCTTTACCCTTTTCTGCCCAGGTGTCTCCATACACTCCTGCCCCAAACTAGACAACATCCCAAGGTCGACTACATCCTGGTGTCACACTTACGGTTGGTCATTAAACCAAAGAGGCCAACATACAGTGTGAGGTGAGTCCTCAGCTTTAAAGACATCTGCTTGAGTGCTGCTGTGAGACCACACTTGAAATGAGTGAAGACAGGCCAGAAATGCTGACTGAAACTTTATCTACAAATATAAGCCTTTATATTCTAGACTGAAAAAAACTCCAGAACATGAATAACGTGTGTAATACCAATATTCTCACACTGTCTGTACGTAACAGAAGCAAGAGAGACCTAGTGTTACAGTTCCTTCATCTAAAATCTGGCTCGTTTCCTGGTAAAAATAATTTAGACCATGGAGTGACCAACGAATATAGTTTCAGTTTCTTAGATCAGGCTTTTGTCATGGAAAATTTAACAGCAGAAAACTGTTTTGTTGTTGATTTGGTCAACATTAAAAATTCATATCCTGTCTAGTCTGGAATAACAACACTGGCAATAGCTGCTCCAGTTTTTAGGAAAAAATAAGTCCCATGAATGCTAGTACAAGCGCAAACTGTAGTACTCCAGTCTGGAAAGAAATTACCACAGAGGCAAGAGACAAGAAGCTGAACAGAAGATAATTTACAAAAATAGGATTAATTATGAATTGCCACTTTTCTTGTCCATTTGTGTTAACTTCAATTTAATGATTAAAAACTACTCAAACAACAGTAGGGATGTTTTTCTGAATTAAAAATATTCAGTACTTCCTGTTTCTCTTTGGAAAACAACTGTATACAAAACACCTAGCAAGACCGTAAGACTACACATTTTTAAAGACTATAATTAAAAAACCTCCTAAATTAATGAAGGCAACCTACCAAATGAAGGAAAAAAGGGCATAAAACCAATTAAAGATGTGTAAATACCTTCAAAAGCAAATTTGAGTAATATTAAATCAGTATTATACACCCCAAATGCCTTTCTCTCACCCTAATTTATTATGCAATCTGACTTAAACCAAGCCAGAGCACATACTGAGAAACAAAACATTAAGTGCCAGGTATTCTTGAAGAAAATAATATATCCTACAGCAGAGACTCAGTATAAAAGAAAACAAGACACAAACTCAGCCACAAGCACTGAAGAGACAACAAAGGGAATATTTGCCTTTGTGCACTTGGCTGGATTTGTAGATGTTTGTGAGAAGGCACATTTTTCCCCAGTTTAAAATGAAATACAAGTAGCTTAAAATGAGGCTGCTGATGATAGAAGGAGAGCACAATAGATACTTATCTCTACGATCAAACGGAGCAGGCAAGGGATGGAAAGAACAATCTGAACTTGTAATCCCCTTGACTAGGATCCCCTCCAGACACAGCTGGTTGCCTCCTTATCACACAGGAGGTGAGACTCACTACCACAGATTCAGATGAGAAACCTCCGTTCAGTTCTCTCAGACAGAACGGCATCAAAACGATGAACCAACAGCAAGGACCCTTATTCTACTTCTAAACTATTAACAAACGAGGGCACCACTTAACTAGGAAGAAAATGAGAGAATAACCCCACAGTAAGTTAGCCAACAGAAGAATTCTGTTCAGAATACAGTGAGGATGCCCAAGCCGAAAGTCAGTGTGCTGTGGATAATCTTCAAACAGTGCTATTATACCTACTTTACACATACAAACTTTTTGAAATCAGAAAGTGCCATTACTTTATAACATTAATTTCATCATTTTCACAAGGAATAACTTATTTTAAAAAACCTAGAGAGGAATAATCAAGTAGTAATTACCCTCGTCTAGTACAAAGCACTATTTGTAGTCTTTAGTTTCTTGCAGATCAGTAGCTTATCTGAAACACAGGTTTATTGAATTGTTCAAGTATTTCTTTGAAATGTCAAAAAGTAACTATTTATGAAGAGGCCCTCATACAATCATCTTACATTCTCACCAGCTAAAGTTTGCTGCCACAGTCAGGCTAATTATTTGTCAAAGCCTCTTGATCATATTAAATAAGGAAAAAAAAAAATCACAACAAAAGAAATGTAAAACAAAAATTGTAAATTGGTCCTATCCAAACTGCAAGGAACAATAAATCAAAGGAATGTTTTTTTAAAAAAAAAAGACTTTAAAAATGCAAATGGATAGATAGGTTCTAAGAATACATTTAATTATTCATTGTGCATACAGTTTGAAAAACATTAATAAAAATTTAAAAGCACTTCTGACTGACTGTTTTTAACAAGAACCATAAACTTGCTTAGATGCAGGGGAGCACCAATTAAAGTTTGATAGATTGATCAGTATTTTGGCACCCACTGGCTTGCAGATATTCCCTTTAGCTCCGTAATATGTTGATGTGGTTCCACTGGTTGGTAAGCTTACAAGATCAAAGATATCACAAGGGACTTAAAGAGGGTTCTGGGAGATACGCCTTGACACTTTTGTCTCTTTTTTTCTTTAAGATATAGGTGACAATTTGCAGGTGCTTGATTCCATTTAGCTTTAAAATGAACTTCCAGAAATGTGAAGGAAGATAAAGCTATGAAAGTACAAATGAAACCACAAATGACATAACATCTACAAGTAGGAGTGCTCCAAGACAAGAGAAGGAAAAGCCCAACCCAAATCCCACTGACAACTACCGCTGATGAAGTGAAGCCTTCGGTCGGAAGTATTAAGTCTAAAGACCACATACACACAGAGACAGGTGACTTCCAGACTCTCTTTACAGCTCTGGAAACTACTTTAAATTAGAAGGAAAATGACGAGAACTAAATCCATATCAAAACATGAATCATGAGGATACAATTTCATGCAGGCACGGGCAAAAGATTGTACACTACTTGGAAAACAAAGTATACAAGTTTGTCAGGTTCATACTCAGATGACTTGAAGCTCAGTAATAAGACTCTTCCCAAGCTTGGGTTTTGGGTTTGTTTTTTTTTTTACTCCAAACGCAAGAGCTGATAGCTGCAAGCCCAGCATCAACAACTAATATCATAAAACACTGCATAAAATAGAACATCCCTTGGAAAGGGATCGAACCAGAAGTAATTTGTGACTGGTCACTTTAGTTACATTAAGTGCAACACAGATGCTCTTATCTCCCCTTTATATAGGCACAGAACAAAATAACAATCTCCTCTTACAAAATGTTCAAGTACTTGAGTGAGGTTCAGCACAATCTGGTCACACAGCTGAGGGTGTGCAGTTAGCACAGGATCCGGAACTGAGGCTGTCAAACACCTCACAAAACAGCTTTTATACAACATGGCATCCCTTCACCACCAGGTATCAGCTCGTCTGCAACCCCAACCAGCTGTTTAAAATTTTTGTTTGGCAGACGTGCACGTAACCAGACCTGTCAGAAGTCACACAGATACAAATCCCTTTTTCAACTTGCTAGTGTGGGATGGCTCTGGGACAACACAATGCAGTCAAAACTCTCTTTTAGGAAGAGGAAAACAAGTAAGTTTGCCCTCTAAGTGATCATCTCTATTTCTAAATTCAACCTAAACTAAGCAGCTCAGAAACAACGTGAAAGGGTTCTTCAGCACTACCCTCACTCCTTTCTGTATTTCATGTGTGTTTTGCTGTTATTTATGGGCTAATGAAATGATGGGTCCTACCTTTTTTTCTCTCAAGCAATTCCAGAACTTACCAGACCATTGAGTTCAAATGGACATGTTCAACTAAGCAAAATAGCTACAGATAGTATTGTAAAAAAACCAAATGGGTTTTACCTTCCTTTGTGAGGTCTTCCTCTCTCTGGCACACCTGCAGATGTCCTCCGGTTCACAGTGGAGTAATCAGGATCTAGTTCATATCCTTCATCATCTACTCCAAGGCTGCGGTTATCATCTTCCAGTCCATAGGGCTCTGGCTGGAAGCGTTCTGGCTGGGAGCGGTTCAAGTCAACGTTGCTACCCACTGGCACCTGAGGCTGGGCAACAGGACCATAGTTATCCCTTCTGCTTGGCAAAGTGAAGCTACCATCATCTGGCCGGTAACTGTTTCCTGGCACGTAGGCATAGCGAGGACGGTAGTTGACACCACGAGACAAGCTACCGTAGTTGTCAGATAGATCTCCATAACCGTCGTGACTGATGTAAGGGCGATACTGGCCTTCGTGGCTTTCAGCGTAAGAATCGTTGTAGCTGTTGTAAGATCGGGTTAACGTGGATGATGCTTGTGGTGTGATGTACCGCTCCCCATTCTTCATGTACCTTCTGTCTATTGAATCTGTGTAGCTTCCCATGGGAGACGAGCCATCCATAGAGGGCAGGCCATCGGGCCCAAGCGGCACCTGACGCACTGTTCTGGTGGTGACTGTTTTGACCATTTTGGTAACCTGTGAAGAAGTAGCCAATAAATATGTTAGTTTTCCGCTTGCTGCACAATGTGATGAGACATATGGGGAGCTAGAACAGTAAAACAGGGAGACAGCATCACAAAGCTACTAGAGTGACATGACTGTTGAAAGGAAGCACTGGTGTACTCACAAGTTCACCTATTAGGTTTAGCATCTAATACTGGGAAAATATTTCTAAAGAAAGCTGAAAAGACAGGCCTAGAACCAGAGTTAAGTGCATTTTGGGGCTCTTGCTACCAAATCAAACATTCTGCAGTCACATGACAGCATGTGGAAGCAATATGAAGTCATTACACCAGTTCAAACTTGACCAAAATGTTTCCAGGAGGCATCTTTCCTAGAGCAGACTTTACAATGTTAAGGAGCCACAGCCTGTTCTCCCACGTTAGCGTAAATACCACATCACGCTCTCTAGTTTAACAGAAGTACAGTTATATGCTCTTGCCTGATCAGGATCAAGTTTTTACCACTGTGTAACTTGATGGAGCTAAAATTTGGTAGTAATATTTAAGAAACCATGATCTCAAAAGAGAAAAGTTTCAGGCTTCCAGCTTTTGGACAGCACAACTACTTTCTCTTTTACGATGTGCTTACATCTGACTATGATCATACCACCCAACAGGTAGTTAGTGTCATTCCATCATTTTGGTGACTAAGAAATTTGCAATAATGAGCACCAATGTCATGCTTCTTTTGCAACCGCAACTATTCTAAGCATACTGGGCTAGACAAGTTTGTTTAAAACATTAAAAGAAAAATCTGCACACAAATACATCTTTATCTTCTTTTTCCTGTGAATCACATTTCATTTCAATACAGATAGCATCAGACTATTTCACATAACCGACAAAAACTGGAAATGCTAAGTGTACAGAGGGCACTTGTGTTGAAGGTTTCTTGCTAAAGGGTTAAGAACAAAGACTCCTCAAGAGTTTCCAAGAACATTCTGCCTTCAAGGGAAAGGTCTGGCAATCTGAGTAAGACAGCGTTGGACAAAAGCCACTGCTATTTGCAAGCTAGCAAAGGAACTTCTGTTTTGGTTGGTATCTGGGGTCCATCAGTTTCTGTACTGTCTTCCAGAGTGACCAGCAAAAGCTGTTTTGGAGAGAACACAAAGTCCAGCAGAAGCCAATCTATCCTTGGGTTACCTTAACCCCAATAAAGTTACTTTAACCTATAAGAGTTACCTGAACCCTAGTAAACAGTGACTTTCAGCCCTTTGTAAACAAAACAAACTAAACAACAACACAACGCACCCGCAAAGATGAGAAGGAGAATCAATCCACCAGATAGTATCGCACACAGGGAAGAGAGGAACACAAAATAAAATTGTTAAGAGATATTTTGGGTTTCTAAAGTATTAGAGGTAAATAAGCACCGGTAAACGACATTTTTCTTCAGGTAAGCCACAGAATCAAATGGGTACATCAAGAGAAACAATAACTATAACATGTACTCCTGGGTAGCTCAGTGGCTCTCAAGTTCAAATAAATATTTTGACCTATAGCCTCTGATTTGAACATTTAGATCGGCACCATATTAGCCAAGCTGCTGCTAAAGCAAAGTAATTAGAGTACATCTCTTGAAGTGGCTCCAGACATGTCCTCTAGCCAGATGTTTTCACACAGAAACCCCAAATAGAAAAAATTCACCCAAACAGCATTTCTCTTCCTTGAGACATCTGTGAGCAAATGATACTCCAGCCTAATGAAGTAACGAAATCCTGCAAGACTGAAAGCTGCACAAACGGCTCTCCACCAACAGCACAATTAAACACCACCATGATGCTGAATAAAGCACAGCCAGGTACCAACATGACCTTAGTCTCTAATTCAGGCCAGAGCTGAAGGAATTTTCCTCTTCAACCCAAAGGTAAACATCAGGAAAGATGTTACCTTCCACACCTCTGAATCCTCTTTTTTCCTTTCTTTAAAAGCACGCATTTTAATGATGAAAAGAAAGGAAACTAGAAACTAACCATTTATTTCACAACAGAATCCAACAGTGGGTTTTGCTTATTACCTGCACACAATACTTCTACTTTCCACTCAGTTATCAGCATGACTGCTGTCATGGCATTCATAAAACCAGACAGCATTTAGTGAAGAAAAAGAGCTGGCGTAGCTTACAGTAGCTCTTTGTAAAGTGGATATACACAAGGCAAGACAGCTCAGTATTCTCCCACTCGAGTATGAAACAAAAGTTTTATTCAAAGTAATACGCTCATAAGTGATCTTCTAAGAGTAGAAAAAGCAACACTTCTCAGGCCTGAAATATGCGAGCTTTGCAAAGCTATGACAAAACTGGATGCAAAGTGCTGGATCTTTGTTTTCTTGAATTTGGGAACCAGTAACGGGAACACCAGGAAGTATGGTAGCATTTCAAGGATTTGATGAATCAGAAATCGATACTTTTGCCCAGGAAGGAACAAAGAGGCAGTTTTCCAGATGACAAGACGAGGACTCGCATAACCTCACAAAGCCCTTTCAGCAATATTCAATGGGACCTACATATTTTAAATCTAATTCCGAGTTTTGCTTTTCAAGACATACGTTGCCATGCATGCATAATTTGTCGTGCAATTTTTCATAAAGTTGTGAAGATCAGACAATGCAAGACACCAAATACACCACGTCTGACAGCAGAAATAACACAAAAGAAGGAACAAGCTTTGACCTGCAGCATCCTTGGACAAAGGCTGCTGTATGTCTTCACCCAGCATTCCTACTGACAGTTCTGGACTCTTGCTCATTTTTGACTGTTTAATGGGTTTTTTTTGCAAATCACTGTTACTGTCAAACAGGACAAGGTAACACAACGCAGAAACGATATGGTAAGGACAACTGTCTACCAATATTAAGCACATGTACACAAAAAAATACAAAACAGAATTTCAGAACACTTTGAAAATCAATTCCTAGACAATTTGTTTACCAGTTACACTTAATGAGATTTTCACCATGCTCTGGTACTCTACAGAGTATTTACAGATTTTTTTTTATATATATATATGACCAATACAGAATGCAGGAGATTGGGGGAAAAATTTCGAATTATCAAATTAATTTGCCTTACTTCCAGTCTTCAAGACTAGCATGGTGTTTTCAATAGCTGTGGTTTGGCTAGTCAAAAAGACACACTTAGCATCACCCAGCACATGCAAAAACAAGTTTAGGATGTTAGCAGAGCTTCACCTCTATCACTTTCTGAATGCTGCCCCTATTAACAAGTGGAAAGAATCAGGACAATCAAAACCCCCTTGTCAGATACATAAAAAGGAACATTTCACTCAAGCATTAAAGTACATATTTCTCATGGCATAAAAGCATTCAGTAATGCTAAAGGTGTTATGAAAGGGGAATCAAACCGAGACTTTTTATGTCTTCAGAGAGAGGGAGTATTGGCACTCATACCTCATTTGTCAGGGGTAAGCATTGAGATAGAAGATTTATCATGTGATAAACAGACTTTGTTGCCTACAGAACAATAAAGGGAAGCTTTTCAGAAGCAATTAGCCAGCAGACAGAGGAACGTCCATTTATTAGGTTTCCAAGCAAAAAAAACAACCCCAACAAACCAAACATCTTTATTTCAGGAAATCCAGCTCAAGGGAATGTTTCTTTTATATTTCTTAAAAGAACACAGGCAGTCTTCAGCAGCTGGCAGCACAGTATTCTTCTCTCCCAACATTTTTGTGGTTTCCTAAATACCGATCCATTAGCCAGACAGAATGAAGCTATTCCAAATGGGAGTCCCAGCAGACTATCTTATCTGAGACACACGAACCTCCAGATGCACTCAATCTCGAGAAGGATTTATTAGCATGAACTCCTCACTACAGATATGCTCTAATGAAAAATTTAGAGATACAAATTACTTTAAGAAAGTGTAATTTGACTTCCTATGTTTACTTTCCATCTCTAAAGAAAATTTAAAGACTTTTTTTAGCCCAATTACAAATCAAAGATGCTCAATTGTTTCGTTGCTACAATCTCAGATCACCAGATAAAAGCTTCAGATTACTTCCCTATGAAGAGGTTGTCCAAGTATGCTTTAAATGTATTTGCAATTCTTTATTCCCTGTAAACTATATTAGGGTTTCAACCACAGTAAAAAAGGAAAAAGTTCCAATATACCAACTTATTCAGGCCGTCTGTCTGCAACCAAAATCCGATGAGACTGAATCTTGGTGCTTTAATTGCTGTCCTGTCCCTGTCGAGTGTTCTGTCCCCCCTCCAGATACCACTACATTTCAGGTCTACTGACCTTACCATTGTTGTCCTCCTCCAGATAGCAATTATTTTGTTAAATAATTCCTCCACAGGCCCCATGATAATGTTTTCCCTAATTCTGTTTCTAGAAATACATTTGCCAACAGAACACAAAGGAAACATCTGAGGAAAATACATTTGTTGAAAATACATTTGCCAAGAGAACACAAAGGAAACACATTTGAGGCAGATTCTGTATTTTTCTGTCCCTCATCCTTCTATTTGACTTGAAGAAAAGAGAACAAACATGAGACTATCCAGTGATTGAACTTACCGGATGCATGTGCAGATGGTACAAATAGGCCCCTCGAAGTGCACAGTACCGAGAGGAAGACAGACAGTACTGAAATTTCAGTTGAAGTGGGCTGTCGCGGTCAAATGCAGTCATCTTAACCAGTACCTATAATTTTGCCTTCCATTTTGTTATTGACGTTTGGTTTTGGTTTGCCCCCTTTTTTTTTTTGTAAATTAAGTACATTATAAAAGCTAACAGGGCTAAAAATTTTGTTGAAACTATGTCACAAACCAAAAAACAGACGAGAAGGAATGCGTGAGGATAAAAACATTCTGACACTTCTGAGAGCTTATTTTTTAACTAAGGACTGTAAAAATTAATCAGCCCAAGCAGGCTGAAGCTATTACCTTTCTATTAAATGCTGTGTAAGAACTCGCCCCATAGGTTTTCAAAACAACAGCTCAAATTTCTCCCTTTCAATTTTGAACTCAACATTTCACATTTTCAAAGGGCCCTCAACTTCAGCTGAAATCCATTCTATTACCCAATTCCCTTGAATTGCCTGCAAAGTTTCAAAGAACCATCTCTCAGGGTACCTGGCACCGCCACAACCAGAGAGTTTGAGTCACAAGCACTTTGCCACCGCTGGTGCTAGGAAGTGGGAGCAGCAGCTCATCACTGTTGGGCCACTGATCTGGCCTTGCTGAGTATTAGAAAGCAAATAGACTGGAAGTGAAACAACTTTATACACAGATTGATTCCACGGTTTATCATAAAATATCATTTTCAATGAATAAAAGTGTCCTAAATTCTCTCCAATCTTTTAGAATTTCAAAGATAGAAGGTACCTGAAGAAAGGAAAAAAAAAAAATCAAACATTAACACAAGCACACACAAATCTAATTTGCTTTACTGAGTTCTCTCCAGCCACTTAGAGACAGGGTCCCTCTGACACGTGGCAGTGTTCCAGCCGACGGGCAAGAAGTGGCAGTCTTCTCCCCAAGGTGACTTTCACTGTTTCAGCATGATACGTACTTGGCTTCCAGAGAGATTATAAAGTTGAAATGAAGTATTATCTGCTACATCTTTTGTGCAGTGAATCTTATGTAGGGACTTAGTGTAGTACTAAGAGAATAACAGTTTGAGGAAAATTACTCAGAGATATCTCTTTTTGAAAAGGCAGATGTTCTCTATTTAAAATATGTCAAATACCAAATTCTATTATGCCTTCTTCCTGCTTCACCGCTACAGGCATCTTCAAAGATGTGGGGAAAAGTGCAGCAAAATGCTGCAATGCTGTCAATGCTTCTGGATTAAGGTTGTTTACTTAATACAATACGGAAGAGAATAACCTCTATAAATTATGGTTTTGAAACAACAATAGGGAAAAAAAATAAATTAACTGCAGCATACAGGAACATTCCCATTTACAGCTTCTGCTGTGCTTCAGTTCAAGAGGAGGAATTTCAGAGGCAGTCTCCACAAAGCTAAAAGTTATACAATTTAACAAAAATAAAAAACAAATGTCCTTTAAAGATCCAAAAACACACACTAAATGTCATTATGTTGACCAATCCCCACATAATCTATGCAGTAAAAAAAGTATACATTTGGAAAACTTCTCTGGTTTCTTTGGCTCTTAAACAGGACCTGTGTTATTTACTCTGTCCGGGGAAGCATCTTGTGCTATCACTTTCTTTGCAAGACAAATACACTAGAGATTGAGACTGGCGCTGTCCAGAAGAACCTTCTAGTTACAGAGGTAATAAAAATAGGTTCTAAACCCTTCCTCAAAGAAGCCTACAGCAAGCACAGCAATGCAGAGCATAAAAAAAAAAAAACAACTTTATTTGTATGTTGTGCTAATCACTTTGATTTAACAGATGAGACAGAGTTTTTTTTTAAAAAAAGAGAAAAGCACAAGTGCAACCCCCTAACATTTAATGGACACAAGATGACTGTCTCAACTTTAAACATTACCCTTATTAAGTAACAGATTAGATATTACTGAAAATATATGTGAGGACTCCCATCATAGGAAAAGCTGCACCTTTACAAGGATAAGAAGTACCTGCACACTAAAAGCAAGGCCAGATTCATGGGGTTTTTTTGTTAGTTGGTGTTTTTTTTAGCATTTTTTCTTTTCCTTTTTTCCTTTTTTTTTTTTTTTTTAAATCTGAGAGGGAACAGCAACACAGAACAGCAGTTTCTGCGCTCAACAGAGATCCTGCTACTGCACGCCCAGCAGACGTGTTTGCATCTCTCATCCCAGATAAATGCTTTCCTTCACTGTCCTCATCTAAGCAGCAAGGTCAGAATTTTGCCACTGCACAGAGGAACCAGGAAACTTAATTTTCTCTGTAAGGCTCTCATATGTAACGATATGACCTATAAAAGCACTGTGATGATACCTATTAGAAGTGATAGCAAGTCGATGCCAATTAACTCCAGGACACTTAACTGATGCTACAAAACCTGACTGACAACAGTTTTTATTTTCACATTCCCTATAAAAATAAAAAGCAAGTTGAAGACCAATGTGATTAAAAAAAAAAAAATTAAAAAAATTCTGACCTCAGATTCACATCTAAGAGCTGTTAAATCTATGTCATACTATCACAGCAAGGAAAAGTCAAAACAAAACCATTTCAGAGACAACAACCACCTCAGCAAAGTCACAGCACCTCTCCTGACAGAGCCAGGGCTAAGCCAACCCCATCTGTGTTTTGAGATTTCAGAATGGCTTTTGCTCAACAACTGGATTTTTTTTTTTTTTTTTTTATTTTAAGAGCTGGCCTTTTTAGCAATGAGATACCAGGAAACACCTCCGGATGGTACGTAAGTTGAAGTCAGTGGCATTAATTGAAACAACACAAATGCAGAGCAAGACAGCTAGGCACCCTGCCCCATTCCCGACACGCTTCGGTGCCTGGAATGAAATGCAGCAAGGGGAGGAATCCTTGCTCTTTGAAACGGAACAGTAGCTTTAGGGTTGCTGCTTTTTCAGTTTTCTTTTCCCATATGCAGATACAGTGCCTGTTCTGGAGCTGCCACTGTTGTCGTCTGTGGGAAGATGGAGAAATGGCAGGTACACCTCACAGAAGAAAATGGCACCTTTTATGCTATGACAAACATGCAGCTTTATCAGTGGCACGACTATTTCAGACAAACTATTTCATTCCATGTGGTCCCGTTATCTAGGGACCCCTGACAGCCTCTCCTCTATTTTTACAGTCGCAGCTATCATTTTATTCCCTTGCATAGTTGCACTTAGAGTGTCCTAAAACTATGCACTACTATTAGTGCATATAAAAAGGTGTCTATCACCACTGTAATTTTATCTCTTCCTTCCTGTAACAGTTGTTGTTGCTGCCACTAGAAAGAAAACTGAATTTCTTTCAAATAAGCTACAGATTAAATACGCTAGATTATTTGAAGAGCTAATAAAAATTTGGCGTTTTTTTTCTGCCTGTTTTATTTTTAAGACCTTTGTCTCCTTGCAACAATGAGAAAATAGGCCAGTTATACTTACCTTCTCACTAATCACAACAAACATTAAACCAGATATTCAGTTTACAGAAAAGTGTGCAGGCCTGCTGACCTCAGGAAATCAACATTCATTTACACCAACCTGAGGATGTGATGTCCTGAATAGGTATCTTAGAGGACCGCAATGCTGGAACACCAGTGAAAATCAACACTGATTTATGACCTCTGTTCAACTCCTTTTTACAGAGAAAGCAGTTGGACAGTCTATTTTTTTTTTTAAATCAGTGCTGTTCAGAAATTTTTCAAAAGGGAATCACCCATAATCTTTCACAAGACCAAAACCTAACCAAGATGTCAGCTCAACTTCAAAGACCCCAATGCCAAGGTATATTAGTGTTCCAGTGGTACCCGAAAGCACGTGAGATAGCCATGAGCATACAGCACCTTCTCAGCAGAGACTGCAAAATTATCTTACACAAGGGAACAAAAAGACATCAGGAACACATGCAATATCTGTCATCCAGCAGAACCTGAGGTACAGGTTGCTTGAGAACACACCTAGCTTTCCCCATGCATCAGGAGTACAATTCCATTCACGAGATTGTAGCAGAACTTACAGGCTGTGGTGTTACTTAAATAGGATGCCTCTTGTTCTGAAGGACAAACACATAATCACATACTGTTATTACAGATCATAACTGATTTGTGGACACATTTCCAAGCATATTTTCCTCAGCCAAAAGTAATTTAGTCCAAGCCCTACCAACTCATCTAATACTTGTATCATCGTATGTGTTTGCAGGGCAATGCTGTGAACTGTTCCAATAAAATAAAGTGAATCTTGAAAGAATAAACAGCCTGGGATGGGGTTCTAGTGTTTTTGTTTGCTTAACCTGGATAATTTCTACTGTTCAAGTTCACAGCTCCATCAACAGCTGTATCAGCACAGCTGACAGGGAACAAACTAGACAGAGGTGAAACTGAAAAAGCCCTGAGCTCAGCTTCACTGGCAAACCAAACATTTAAAATCACTGAGGATCACAATAGCATGATTGTCATCACCCATGCTACTCCCTGCTATTTTTATTTTGTGATTAGGTGGTATATTTTGCTGTTTTCCTCATTGGTTATTAACCTCTCACCTTGGTTTCAGTTCTCCTTGTGGTTCCATCTTCAGAAGTGACAATAGACACATGGGAAGTGGGAGTGCCTGGGTCTTCCTCCACAGTAACTGTCTCTTCCACCATTTCTTGAGGCTCTTGCATCATTGCTATTGATGTCTGGTTACTGGGACTTTGTTCCTAAAGAAACAGGTAAAAAAAAAATTAAGTTTTCACCTCTACCATCATGGTATAACTACTCTATTGATTTCCGCTTTCTCAACTGAAAAACACATATTACCCAACAACTTGCAAGTAGAGATTCAGAGAAAGAAATATTTACCGTCTCAAAAAAGCATACTGCAACTACACTGGTACGGCTGAGCTCAGCTCAGCGAATGGAAATCATGTGAAGCATCTATCAAGGACTTCATATTTATAGGCAACCTACTACAGACTACTATCGTATATTTAAACCCACTTTAAACTTTCTCCTCAATGTTCGGCATAGGAGGAGTGGAATTTTTGTCTGCAAAAACATTCATTCTGTTCTGCAGTGAATAGGACCATTGGCATTCAGAGCAGTTAATCTTACACACCATTAAAAGTTATTTCCATTTGATAAAATACACTCAGTTGCAGACTATAGAAGGCTATAAAACATCAAGACCTACTATTGGCTATCAAGACCTTATTAAACTGACACCTTTCTCAAACTGTCCAAAGCAATGATAATTTTAAAAAATAGATAGCTAGAGATTAATAGCTGAATTATATGAAATGCCCTTCTGACACCTTCCCTTTGCTAAGTCCCTAAGATCTAACTGGCTATAAGCTTATTTAACATTTATAACTGATAGACAACATAAAGAAAGACTAAACAGAAAGAAAGTAGATCAAAGGCTGGTTCTTGCAGGGATACTGCCCAAAGAGGACGCTTCTGCTCCTCACCAGCACTAACGTCTGAACTTTCCTTTTTCTTATGCAATTGTGTGTCTCAGCACAGAAATCAGAGAAGCTCCCCTTTGGTAGAGGAATCTTTTTCAGAAGTTTCACAGCAAGTGGTCAATAAAGAACTGGCTTACATACTGAGAAATAAGACTTTTCCCCAGCATTATGAATACTCAAACTACGTAAAATGAAATGACAGACTGTTCATTTCATTATGTGCCCTGAAGGTATTGGATTACACAGCCCTCAAAGCCAAAGTAGGGCTTCTATTTGCACATCTTGTCAAACAGGCACACAGAGAACATCCTTTATTAAGGAATATATGTATACACACACATGAATATACACAAACAGACACGCTTTTTTCCCTTAAAAAAAAGAAAGAGGAAAGGAATGACACAGGGCCCTAAATTGCAAAGCGAACGTGTTTTCCCTAAAGAAAACACCCTGGGCAGATTCAGTATACCTTTTCACATTGCAGGAAAACAAAATGATTGGGATGAAACTGTTGCTATAGAGGTGCTGAGTCGAATTACATAAAGGTTTAAATATTCTCTACCTGTGAGCATCTTTATCACCAGGGAACTACAATATTTTATTTCATAACATTTTATTTAGAAAAATTGCATTTCATCCCAATGAGGAACTTTCGATTGCCCCCTTTGCTGTGCCATGTTTTGCGCAAGTGCTGAAGGACAGTATCCTTCCAAGTGACTTTATGCTGCTGACCAGGAGTAGGGCACTCAGGTCTCATTAAGCTCCACTGGGAAAAACATCATTTAATCCTTGCGTGATCTGTAATTTGCTTTGAAACAAGCTGAGAAGTCCTTGTTCGGTTTCCTTTATTTACAGCTGTATTCTGACATTCTGGAACATGGACGTCAGTAAGGAAGCCACTTTCATTTCCAGGTAAGCACTAGTATTAACCAAGACCATGACAATAAGCTTCAGGTAATCATCTCAACCAAAACGCAACATGGACAGCCTTCACAGATAACACACGCTGGACCACCAGAGTGATGTAAGCAGGCACTACTTCCATTTCTATTGAAACCACAGAATAACTCAGGCTACAGAATCAATTAATGAGAATAAGGCTTCTGAAATCCTAAAGAAAATAACTCCTTCCAGTCTGCAGTACTTAATCATTAAGGCAAGAACTTATGATACACGCTATATTTCTTATGGTAGGGTTCAGATGTCAGATTGTGTCTTCTGCTCACCGCTTTAGAGAGGAAACTAGCTCCTGGGACAAATATATTAATCCCTTCACGTTCTTCTTGGAGATACTATTCTAATTGCAACTCCCTTTTCCCCACCCCACAGTAAAGATTCCCTCTAAACAAAAGAATTTACACAATATTGCAATACAATAAAGACTCAGAACTTCTATTCATCTTCATGCAACCTCAGCCTTGTGAGCAGCAAAGAAATCAGTGCGTGCGGAGATTTTTTTTTTCCATTAAACCTTGTCTCTGTGAACCTCATCATCATCTCCAAGGCACTGAATGCCAAAGCTGCTTCAAGGTGGCACTTTCTCACTCCTCTCACACACGTATGCACATACACAGATCTCATCCATCATCCTCATTTCTAGCTGCATCTCGAGGTGACTGCATGAATCTACATCTCTTCATTCCCCTCCAGATCCTTCAGATGCAAACTCTGCTTTGTGATAATAAACCTGAGGAGATGGAAGATGGAAAGATATATTTTGCTCTTTGAGCTTTTGCAAAACTTTTTCTTTATGAAAAAAATAAAGTCTGCCTTTGTATTCAGACTGCCTGTGGGCAAAGGAAACCTTTAAAGCTGGGCACTTAAACATGAGCAAATTGCAAACTAGAGCATATTGACTTTAAATAAGCACTGCACTAGTTTTTATCCTCTGGCTGCTTCTAAAATGAAGATTCAAGCAGATATGGTACAGATCTGCATTCCTAAAGAGGAAAGTATTGTTAGCAAGGGACTGTCCTAAGCATCAGGAAGAATAAAAGCTTGCGATGCTCAAGGTGGATATTCCAACACAGGCAACTAATCAGACTGTGTCTTCCTTCTTATCATGGGAGCCACTGAGGACGGCATGTGGGCAAAGAGGACAGCATATCATCCAGCTTGCTCTTCCCTGAATTAGTTCACGGAGGCAGTTCTTTGATCTCCAAGCCCAGTGCTTTCTCCACAGCTAACCTGGAGTTGTCACGAGCTAACATTAATGTAGAAAAGATGCAAACATTTTGTTATCTGCTTTTAGTTTCTATCATTAAGGATTTTAGGTCATCACAAATTGCAGAAACTGGGACACATTACCCCTTTCAACCACCTTCCTCTGTGCTTAGCTTCTAAGTCAGTATTTAGGACGCTCTTTTGCTAAATACATTTCAGCATCTCAGATACCAAACACTTGGCAGGTAAGCCTAATTATTAAGTAAAATGCAAGTTGCCAGAGAGAGCTGGAACACGACACCACTAATGAATAATCCTACCAGTAGTTCCCTGCCTGCTAGAGGTAGCTAATTCCAGTTTAGAACACCACACACTCCTTCATTTACCTTGCTGGGGGCTTTCAAAGCAAAAGCAAGCACATGGATCCTCTTTTCCTACCACACTGGCCAAGACCCTGTGGTCCTTCCTGTACCATCAAACAAGAGAGTGTTCCCCAGCACAAGAGGGATCTGCCATGCTGCAGCGATCACTGCCATCAGCTGAGCATCTCGAAAGACCAAATCTAAGGGAGATCTCCTCTTCAGAGGGAGACCATCAGGTTCCCTCACAGCTCCTACAGGTTGGCTCCCTCCTCCTCCAAGGGCTCTCTCTTTGACAAACTCGAGGCACAACAGCCATGCTACTGAAATCGTGTCAGGGAACATCAAGGACCAGCAGCTTCCCGAGGGATGTGGCACTGAGGGGGATCCTGCGGATGGCCGGGCAGGGGCCTCGCTGGCTGGGGTCTAGTTCCACAGCACTCAAGCAAGATGAGCAGGACAGCCCTGAGACGGCAGCCAGGGCCAACTCAAGAGGCAATATCACAGTGATGAGGGTGGCTCAAGGTCAACCTGGGAAGCAAATCTGCATGTCAGGGATCGGATCAGGTCCAGAGATAGCCAGGCAGGTCCACAGTGGCAAGGCAGGTCTGAGGTCAGGGTCTGGATCAATGGGGTCCATGGCCAGGCACAGGTATGGCTATGGCTCAGCTGGAGATGAGTACTCCTCCAGCATAGTCCAAGCACAGACTGAGGGCCCAGGGCTGAGCTTGAATAAAGCTCCCAGCTCTCTGGGTTGAGAATGTGGGTGAAAGCCCCATGTGACGCTAGTCAGGTCCAGTGAGGTCTGTCAGTGCCCTCAGGGCCCCGAGGGATCCCCCACAGCTCCTCTAAAATGGCAACAGGAGTTCTCTTGCAATAAACACACACATTTCAAGGTCCTATTCCCCTCCAAATTGCTAAGCATTACCCATGAGGTCCCTTTCAAATAATAATCTTTGGCTCCTTCCAAGAAGATTAGAAAACACCACCAAATTACGAGAACAGATTCCAATTCAATTATTGCATATGGTGTCAGTAGTCACAGCTTTTCTCCCTGCTTTTCTGAAAGCAGCAAATGAATCCTATCCTGTTGATCTGTGCTTGCATCTCCAGTGTGCTTTTAAAAAGCCAAGCTATTTAAAAAGAAAAACAACAAGCAATTTATCCCCAGCCTGTAAAAGTAAGTGCAGATGAAACAGCTAAAGACCTTGTAAAATAAGCAAGAATCATAAAATAACAGTAATTCTTGTTTTGTTAAAAACCAGAGTGATTTACCATTTAGGGCACATATCTCCTAGGGCTTCCTTTGTATTAGAATACTACAGCTTCTATAATCATCACCATTTCAATTCCTAGAGTTACATTTCCATCAAAGTAGTTATTTTATATCTTTTTTAATAAAAGAATAACCTCCCCCAGGAGGATCAGACATTCCACTTTAAAACAGTAAACAAAGTTATTTATTCTCTGCCAAAGAAACAATTTAAAACAGTCTGGAAATAATATAAAATTGGAGATTATTACTTCCACTAAAACAGTCCCTCTTCAAAAACACTGAAAACATGTACATCGAATCATCATTCTCCCAGAGATATCCTTTGTTCAGTAGATTGCAACGCAGGCTATTCAGGCTACTGGTTACTCCAGGCTACTGTCAGATACCAAATTTTAAGGTTTTTGCAAAGCACAAAGGCTGGATTCTACATCAGCAGACATACTTGTCCTCAGCCAACCCCAGCACAGACAAAGCTCAAGTGTATCAACTCCTGTGAAACACATTACAAGTCTGGGCATAATTAACGGCACTGGACAACAATGCTAATTGAATTAAACGTGGATTCCCTCTCCTCCTCTTGCTCTTTGTTTAAATTACTTATTAAAGCTTCAATCTCCGTGAAGCATGAGATTATAATTTAAGTCCAAAGCAGGCAAACATTGGTTACATTGGTTTTGCCAAAGTCTCATGCTGACGTTCTGCCCCACTGGTCTCCTTCCAACTTAGGTCTGCGCTTCCAGCTCAGTCATGTCCTCAAGCTTGTTATGTGCCGAAGGCATGTGGAGAAAGAAAGACAAAAAAGGCAAGTCTGCAGGAACACAGCAGTTCAACATGTCTGTCTTGAAATCTGCATCAGATTGGTATCCCAATGGGACATCAAAAAGGAAGAAAATCACTGGTGGAGTTTGTTGAACCCCAAGTACTTGTGGCAGATTTTTCTCCAATAAAAGATCCAGCTCCCCAGCAGCTGAAGACACTCAAAACTGATTACTGTCTCATTCTCCTGCCTTGTCAGAGCTCCCTTTCTTTTACCATAGCCTGAAGAACCTTGCTGTGCTCTCTGCCCTGGATTTCTCTGGAGAGCTTTTTGTGCATCTCAGTAGCACAACAGCTGGTACCCAAGTTAACCAGCACACGCACATCACTGAGCCTGCCATCATCTGAGAGGCAGCTGCAGAGGAGGCTGTCTTACTCTTTTTAGATTGTGCTTCAGGAACAGAGAAACAGGTAAGCCCTCACATACAGCAGGGCACCTTCTGGAAGCACACGGAGGCCGTGTGTTCAAGGACTGCCACATGCTGCACTACTCCAGTTCAAAAAAACACAGCAAGGTCCAGGTCTTCAGCACCCAGCACGTGCCCAGTCATCCCTCTCTAAACTCTTCACAATCAGGGGAAGGACCGCTGCAAGAATGGAGCATTATGCAGGCAAAATGGCACCGGAACAACAAAAAGCAGAATATCTTGTTCCAAAATCTAGGCAGCATAAAACACTGAAAAGAGAGTTTGCAAGACAGACAATGGTTTTAAGATAGGAATACATAAATACCTACTTTGCACAGATAAACTGATCTCCACTTAGTAAGCCTACTTCTCTGGTTAAACATCATGTGAAACAAAATGTGGGGTTTATATATATAAATATATACATATGTATATATACAGCGGATTCAGCTCATTCCAATGTGACCCCACACACATTAACCTATGACAAGCTCCAAGCTCTGTCAGAGCTCTCACACAGGCTCTGCCCTAAGGCTGGTCAGTTCAGAACATAAGGAAAACGTTAGCCCTAAATGAAAGCCGGCTGTCCTGGCATGGGGTACCAGAATGAATTCAGCCACACACCACAATGCATGAACTGTTTCCTGAACGCTTACACACTTCCTTTGTCCTTTAGAAACACACACGACAAGCGACGAACAAATAATGCCAAGAGCGTTTAATGCGCCAAGGTTAAAAAGGAACATTTCAGCAACTGAAAAAAAACACCCTCAACTACAGAATTTTTGAAAAGCCACAAAGAGCAGCTTTTCTTGCAAGCAGGCATGGTAATTCACCATCTGAAGGCATCACACCTTTCAGGGAAAGCAAGAGGCAGAGGTGAAGGAGAAGGAATCAAAAACCAGACAAGGTCTGTAGTAGTAATATTCATCCCCCAAGTACTGCAGGACACACTGGGGTTCTGTTCAGCCACGCGGTAACTGCCCATCACCAGGGAAATCTACAGTGCTTGCCCAACGGTCAACAAAGAGGGCTTTTATGCTATTTTAAACAATCTGAAGTGTCTCAGTTAATGGAAGACCGGGCAATTGGCCCTCAACTATTTCTAATTGACTGGAATGATGGATGAAGCTAAAGGGAAAGCTGACCCACTGAACTTTTCCATACAAAGCTAGAAAACTGAAGGAGATTGTAAACAGTTTATAAGAACGAGAAGTGGGAGAGGCAGAATCCCAGAGGCTTTGCTCCTCTCAACCTGCTGTTGTTTCAGACCAAGGAAAACAAAGAGCTTCAACTCAGAGCAACAAACAAGAAAAAATACAGGGAAGGCCTAAACAAATAGGGTATTTTTCCCATGCTCTCCTCCCCTTTCTCCAGTAGCTACTTAGCTCTGCCATGCAAGCTGGTCCTTTGAATCAGAAAGGGCAATTTGTCACTTTGACAAGTAAGACGTCTCACAGGGGTCTGAATTGCCTTGCCCTGCTTTTCAGATTGACTGGGTGTTAACCAAAGATGCCAAGACATTACATCTCAGTCAACTTCAACAGATGTGATCATATATACTTAAAACTTAGGTGTTAATCAGTCCCACTACACTAAAGGTAACGCTCAGCAAATCACGCGTGACCATTGATTTTCAGAACAAAACAATCCCAGTAGCTTTTGTACTGCAAAAAGGCAATACTGCTGCAATGTGACAGAGCAGTCTGCTGACCTAAACAGCTCTTAGGAGGGAAGACTGAGGATGTACATCTTCCACATAGGGAAATGGATGCATAACAGGCTCGAATTCACAGCACTTATCCTCAGGCAGCTTAAGGAGGTATCTAAATGCACAATAATTTCATTCTTTTCTCCCCCAGTGGTTCAGCAAGATCAAGTAGTAAAATAGACGGATAAGCCATTATTTTGAATATGAAAATGATAAAGGCAAAAAAAGAGAAGGAACACCTGGCACACACAGTATTAGGGCTAGCTCTGTTCCTCTTAGCTGTCAACAGCATGGCTAGTGTTTATCTGGAAAGTTTGCCCACTAGGAAACCATACTAAATGAGCAGGAAATGACTATTTCTCACCAAGATTTGTACAGAGAGTTCACTGTGATTTGCCAACCTCCCAAAGACAAACACAATGTATATTTGCATGCTTAATCTTTGACCAAACCCAGAACAGATCCAACGTGCTTCCTCTCTGGAGTCTTTCAGATGAACTAACCAAGGTTAAACTAGGGAGATTTTTAGTGGGATGAGGTTACATCACAGATTACAGTTTTCCAGCAAGCTTTTTCCTTCATCTCCACCTGCTGCTTCTACAATGCTGGCATTAAGGGTGGTGTGGGATGACTCATTTGCACATTCCTTTCTGCAAGACAGGCATTCAGCTTTCATTTCTTTTTGGCCCCACAGTGTTTGGGTTATAAATTGAACTGATGCATGTATTACTAAATATCAAGTCCACAAACTTACATGCACACAGGTGTCAGAAGTACAAGCTAGGTCCTTCATCTAAAACAAAAAAAAGAACTGTCAGTTTGTCAGAGTACAGCAGTAAGTTTATGCAGTCCGTGTGTCCCAGACTCTACCCCAGCCACTTAAACACGCCACTACTGCCTTAAACCAAAATCTGCCAGACGCAGCCTGTCAGTTTTAGGCTAACACATGCACGCCTACTTGCACTGCTACAAAACTACCTTAGAGAATTGCTTTGTTAACTTCAAGGCAGATGTAAACCATTTCTGCATTCTTTGAATTATGACCAAGACTGGAACATTATTTGGGTGTCCTAGCAGCCATATCAGATTAGTGTTAAATTTAACTAATCTCCTCACCCACCCACAATCTTGCCTGTAGACCTGAACTAGGCAACAAAAATGCTTTTTGTGGCAAAACACAATGCCACAACACACACACACACAACTAACAAAAAAAAACCCTCTTACGATCTTGAGGGAGACAGAGCAAATGGATCACTAATGAATTTCTAAGCCTGCATTCCAAGTGAGCCGTTTCTTAAATAAATTATTTCTCATTCTAGGGAATACAAAGTGATTTACAATAAATCTCATCACCCTTCTCCTAAGGAATGTGCTTGCCAATGTCTCCCACTATTAAGTACCAAAGCAGGTTTGCTTGGCACCAAGACAGCAGGACTGCTGCAGTCCAAACTGCTCCCTAAGAGATTACCGATGTTAAATCACATTCTGCGTCTTGCCCCCTCCCTCCCCCTCCCCACGCCACACCAAAAGCCACCGTCTAAATAAAACCTAGCAGGAAACGTGTGAACAGCCTCGAACAGAGGCCCAGCTCTCAATATTACGTAACTCCAGAGAGCAAAAATGTGACAGCAGGAAAGAAACTGTGCGGGAGGTCTCTGGATGACTGCAAGTCCATTTGAACACCGAAAGACACAAACAAGCCAACAAAGCCAGAGGCCGCTCCATCTGCTGTAAATCTTCCAAATGGAAGAGATTCCAGCAGAAAGACAATTTTCTCAAGTGCGATGCAGTTACTGAGCTATTTCAACTGGCCAAGAGATCACCAATGGCTTTTTCTCCCCCGTAGTCCATTTACTTCACATACTCTGTGTATTTTGTAAGACCGAGCTTACAACTGCTACTTGTACAAGCACAGACCTCACACAGACTAGAAAGACAGCAGGTAGACTTGCTAAGCCAGTGTTAAACTAGCAATGAGCAGTAGAAAGAGAAGGAAAAAAAGAAGACGAAAGCAAGCACTTGGATATTAGGGAAGATGTTGAGTAAGAACATTTCATCATCTCTATTTGGCATCTGCATGGTCCCTTCTGGGACAACTTGTTCAGCTCTCCCATCCACAGCTGGGGAAGGATGCGGATACACTGCAGTGGGCTCAGAGCACAGCTAACAGAACAGCCAGACAGAAGGATCAGAAATGTGTCTCATCCTGTCCTAAGGTCCAAGCTATTCACCTCAGAGAGAAGGTCAAGGGGTGATTAGTGATTACAGTTCAAGTGCTTCAAGGTGCAACGGAAAGTTGATAGAGAATCCTTTGGTTTCAGAGATAAAGGTTTTAACTAGTCCCAGTGTCAGGAAGCTGAGGGAGATAAGACACATATTTTGTTCTAATTTTTAGACAGCAAGTACGAGCAGTGCAAGAAAAACATATATGCCAATAGGCTGAACATATTTATTTTTAAGAAACATGTTCCTTTTTAATCAGAAACCTGATAATGAAGAGGTGCTCATGTGCATGCACAGAAGTACTCCTACTTGACTGCTACATTGCTCTGAAGATTTTTTCCAGTCTAAGAACAAATTATTTAAAGCTTGTGAAGGACTCCCCTCAGCTCGCCTCTAGCAAATTATACTTAAATTCAATAAAGAGATTTTCGCCAGCAAGGGAAGGGGCTAATGAAGGTTCCCCATTCAGCAATGATTTTGGCTTAAGGAGTTCCCTTTCCTCCCACCAGTGAGGGGCCAGCAGTACTACAAATAAGGCTGAGTTGCAAGCCAGAGCATTGTGTCAACTAAGAAATCACCGTCGCCAAGGAATCACTCTGTGTCCCATCCCCCAAAAACAGCTCCCAAAACCTGTTGTGCCAGCATAACTGAGATAGTTGCATAATAGTAGGAACCAGTGACTGATGGGCAAAAAAGAAGAGATGAGGACCATTTATTCAGGCACTGTCCCCTAGAAAACTCATAAGAAACCACTGGGTCCATTCAGTGTATAATAAGAATACCAAATGTCGACAGTCAGGCAATTCAGCAAGAACTACTACTACTCCACTATGAACATGAGTTTCAGAAAGGAAAAGTCATTTAAACTGAGGTGGAAGTCTTTTGCCCAGAGGTAAATATCTTCACTAGTAAAGTAAAATAGCTCTAAGTTTCTTAAACATGCTTGGCTTTTTTTCATTTTGTATCAGCTGTGGCTAAGTGTTCCACATGCTTGCTGGAAATACACACCTTTGTGACCACTCCTATTGGCACTGAGTATACAGTCAGCACTTCTGGATTAAAGCATCTGAATCATAAAATCCAATCATATTCACCAAGCACCCGATTGTTTATAAAGTATCTTTTTTATTATTATTTCTGATGTGCTTTTGTTTGGCACTTCACAATGGCATTCAAATATGATAAAGATTAAGACAAGACACAGCCATAGAGCCAGCAATCTAAGTCACTTTCTAACAGGTTCTCAGAGGGCTTTTCAGAGAGCCATTTCTCAATTAAACACACACAGATAACAACAAGAGATCATACAGGATGAAATTAAAAGACTTGCTATTAACGAGCATCAGTCAGAAAACTAGATTCATGCTCTGAATGCTCTACTTCCCTACAGCTGGCAAGACAAGCTGCAAGATTGCTGTTCAACCCTGGGATAGGATAGCTGTGTTTCACTCCCACTCCTTATTGCAGCTTTAGCCCAGGAAAGAGGGAATCTTTAATTTTTCCAGAGAAGCCCTGCCAAGCTAAGGCTGCAAATAGGATACGGTGTGTTAGTAAACTTCTAGCCAGCTTGCTCATACCCCGGCCAGCACTCTTCAAAGTGCCTTATTCCCTACGTACATGCTGGCAGCATTGACTACTACCTCGCTTTCATGCAAACCAGTCTCCTGTGTTAGTCTCCCTTTGTTATTTGGGATTGTACAGGATGTGTCATTTTCATCTGTTCTGGCAGAATATGCGGCATCTAGGTATCCAGCCTTGCCTTCTTTATATAAAAGGAACTGCTTCCATAAGACCCACCTTCACTATCAAAATTTTGGCAGAAATAAGCTGGTTCTTACAGTGAAACTCCCGTAAGTGCAGTAGAGGAAGAAAGTTCTCCGTAAAGCATTAGCAGCCCTTGTATCATCTATACACACAGCTGTCTTTCTCAGAGTTCAAATGAAGTTGTTTTATTTTTCTTCAAACTCTTCACAAAGAATCAAAAAATAAACAGCCAGTCATCCCACTCACCTTTTTTAAACAGTTGGACAGACTCAATCAGTACAAATTTAGCAGCAGCGAGCCCCTGCCAGTGATGGACACCCTGCCAGTGATGGACACCCTGCCATTGATGGACACCCTGCCATCAACACTGCTCCTGCCTCCAGGACTCACCCTGACCACAGCACTGGAAATGTCCTCAGAAATACACACTAGAAGGGTTCGTTCTCCTTTGGTTTTCAGCTTTTGGGTTTACTCGGTATCTAAGAGGAGAACGGTACCTTAGTAACTACTCACTGATTTAACAACAGATAAAACATAAGCACGGAAGAGAGTAAGTTTGCCAGCAAGGAGATGCAAAAGCAACACCAGGAGCCAAAAGCACACCCAAAAAAGATGGGATGAAGAGAAAAAAGCGTTACAAAACACACGAATCTATCTAGGAAGAGGAAAACCAAAACAATAAAGCATGGCAGGGAAAGGGCAGCAGGAGAACAGGAAAAAATGAGAAAAGACAGAATCCATCAATGGGAAGAGTAAGTGTCACGTGAAAGTCAAATCAGTGGCTTTCACATGGGAAAAAAAAAAAGCACAGTAGGAAAAGGGGAGGAGGGGGGAAGTATGAGAGAAGTATTTCAGTCTTTAATTTCATCATGTTAACACCGCTTTAGCTCACCATGTAAATCTTTCGATGAATAGTAGCTCTTTCCACGCACGGCAGTACATTAAGATTCTTTTTTAAGGCTTTCCAAACAACACAACGTCATTCTTTGGCGTTTTATGTGGTTTGCCTAGACTATGTTTTTGTTGCTAAGCTCTCATTAGGTGTATCTTGTACTGATACTTACTGACAGGGAAGAGATTATAAAATACAAGCAACGCAAACACAAGCCCAGCATTCAATTTTACACAAGCAAACACTCATGAGCAGCAGTATGATGTCTTGCCTGTGACTTACGAATACTTCTATAGAAGTTCAAGTTGAACTGATGGCACCTGAACCGTTTCAGAGGCGTGTGAGCAATTCATTTAGGAAAGGACAGAAAGGGTCTTCTTGAGACCCTCGTGGAGAGAGAACACAACTCCAGATGTATCATGATCCACCTCCCGCACCAAAAGCTGATGTGCTACCACATCATTTCCAGCCTCCCAGCAGGACGGCTCACTGCATCTGACGCAGGAGCTTGGGATCGGGGAGCCCTGAGCCACAAATACCAGGGGAACACAAGAACAACACAAAGACGGAGCCAAATTAATAAATCTTGCTTACAAGGGATGACAGCTAGCAAGTCAGGAAGAGCAAATGTAACAGTCTAGCTATTTGGGTGGAAGACAAAGATATCCATCCTGAACAGCAAATTCTGTCAAATACCAACGAATGCTTCACACACCACAGGCAGAAAACTAGCCCAATTCTACACTTAATTCAATTATCCACATCAACAGTGACCAAACACATCAGTATTTACAGCTTCCCACCATTTATCAGTTCACACATGCAGAAATGAAATCGACTTCTGAACAAGGAAACCCTGGCAACTCTGATCACAGGAAAAAAAACAAGAAAAATATTTTTGCCAAGAAGTT